TAGATTGTGTTTCAATACCATGAAAATGTAGTAACCAAAACAATTAACCTCTAAATTGGGTATGGATGGTAGCCCTTACTGTTTCTTTGTGGAGATTTTTTTTATACTTTTTTGTAGGATGTAGATTGTAGAGCATGCAAAATAGTATCAAAAACAGGAAAATTAGTAAAAAAATAAAAACACATTATGGTACTTAGTGAAGCAGACTGATGCAGTGTTTCATAATACTGTACCAAAATACATATTACAGTATTTTACAATTACGTACTTATTTATGACAAATACATCGCCAACTCTACCTATCAACAAATGGGTATCATGTGGTGGCATCCTAGGCCCTCTATTATTTTTTGTCTATATCATTGGCCTTCTTAATCCATCCCATGAAACTTAAAACTGCTTTTGTTTGCAGATAACACACATTTTGTCTTCTCAAATTTAGACCTTGTCCTCAAGAACATTGTTAATGATAAGCTCATAAAAATTTCTTCTTGACAGCCATCAAACACACACACAGTATTCCTAAGAATCTCCGCATAGTGTTTGAGAATAAATTTTAATATATTTACTTGATCATATGGATAAATAATACATGCGTGGGAGTTGACGTGTCAGCAGATGGATTTATGAAGGATGATGTTAACCATAGAATTGATGAAGGAAAAAAGGGGAGTGGTGCATTGAGGTATATGTGGAGACAAAAAACGTTATCTATGGAGGCAAAAAAGGGAATGTATTAAAGTATAGTGGTACCAACACTCTTATATGGATGTGAAGTTTGGGTTGTAAATGCTGCAGTGAGGAGGCGGTGGAGATGTCCTGTCTAAGGGCAATGTGTGGTGTAAATATTATGCAGAGAATTCAGAATGTGGAAATTAGGAGAAGGTGTAGAGGGCTGAAGAGGGGTTGTTGAGGTGGTTTGGTCATTTAGAGAGAATGGATCAAAGTAGGATGACATGGAGAGCGTATAAATCTGTAGGGGAAGGAAGGTGGGGTAGGGGTCGTCCTTGAAAAGGTTGGAGGGAGGGGGTAAAGGAGGTGTTGTGGGCGAGGGGCTTGGACTTCCAGCAAACATGCATGAGCGTGTTAGATAGGAATGAATGGAGATGAATGGTATTTTAGACCTGACGAGATGTTGGAGTGTGAGCAGGGCAATATTTAGTGAAGGGATTCGCATTTTCATGGTCTTAGGTGATAAAATGGAAAACATATTACAGAAATAGAGATGATTTTCATTACTTTGATGATGAAAACGACCTTGAAACTGAGCTCAAAATAGTGGAAATGTTTGATTTTTACCAATGTTCAGGAGTAAACAAATCACACCACACGTCCAATACACGTCAGCTGGGGAGTCTAATATTCTTTCACTAGTGCACTGATATTATTTATACCATTTTTACAATAATGCAGTAGTCTGCATAACAGTAAATTTTGTATTTTTTGTGTGAATAAAAAATCAAAATAGAAAGCAATAATAATATAAGAGGGGCCTAGAGATGTGACTAATGAACAGAGGATATGTTATTTTAGTGCCAAGAATGTCTACCTTGTTTATTCTGGACCCTATTTTGAAATTGGCATCTTTTTTAGTTTGCGTGAAATTGGCCAAATTGCCAATTTCTGACCACTATACGTATTGGGTAGTTCAAATTGGTAAATGGGCGGTTTCTTGTACTCAGCTGATAGATAAAATGGAGTTCTAAAGAAATAGCTATGAGTTTGGTCAACTGGAACAACGGAATTGACTGAAAACAGGGCTCAAAGTCGGCAAAATCGCCAATACGCATATGTCGCCGAGACCGCTAACTTCGCGGGAGCGTAATTCCGCGAGTTTTCGACCAAATTTCGAACTTTTGGTGTCATTACCATCAGGAAAAGATTCTCTATCATTTCATAAGAAAAAATAATTTTTTTTTTTTCAAAAACTTATCGACATAGAATGACAGTTTCAGAAAGGGGCCTGCGACAGTCAAAGGGTTAAAGGAGGGTTTTTGGGATATTGTTTTCTTTTCAGGGATTTTCTTTTTGGGTCACTCTGCCTCGGTGAGACGGCCAACTTGTTGAAAAAAAAAAAAATACAAAAACAAAATGAGGGTAAATTCTTAGGTATACACCTTGACAGCAAACTAGAATTTAACATTCACATGCAAAACATATCTGAGAAAATTTCTTAAACAGTTGATAATCTTTCAAAAAATGTTACTATGCACATTACCAAATAACCTTACATACTTACTCTGTATTACAGCCAGTCCTTACCTCACTTATGGTATATGTAATGCAACAAAAATATGCTATTAAAATGATGAGTGATAATTTTCTATACTGAAGCAAGGTCGACAGGTATGAGATGAAGATTATTAAAAAAATAATTCAGGAATATCAAGAAATACTTGAGAATAACCAAATATACTAAGGAATACTCAAATAATTAGGAATCCATAAATCCACACTTGATAATTTTCTATAATGAAATAGGGTGCCAACTAACACATATTCCATGGGACTCCTGAAACATTCTGGAAGCTAATGGTACTTCAGTAGATGACAATAATAAGTAATATACATTTCTTTCTTTTGTTTCACAATGTTACTGTTTAGTTCATAGTACCTTTGATATACCTTTGAAGAGCTTCGAGAGTTTATTTACTCTGAGCCCGGCCATGGGCCAGGCTCGTCTGGTGTTTGCCTGGTCAACCAGGCTGTTGCTGCTGGAGGCCCACTGCTCCACATATCCATCACAGCCTGGTTGATCTGGCACCTGGTGAAGATACTTGTCCAGTTTCCTCTTGAAGGCTTCTACACTTGTTCCAGCAGTGTTTCTGATATCTTCTGGTATGATGTTGAAAAGTCTGGGACCCTGGATGTTGATACAATGTTCCCTTATTGTCCCCACCACACCCCTGCTCCTCACTGGGTTTATTTTACACTTCCTCCCATATCTTTCACTCCAGTATGTTGTTATGGCAGTGTGCAGATTTGGGACCAAGCCCTCGAGTACCTTCCAGGTATATATTATCATGTACCTCTCTCTCCTCCACAATAACGTGGTTATTGGGCAGTTTATCAAGTTTTCATATCTTTCTCTTCTGCTTCCTGCAAATGTTGAAGGGTATCTTGTACCCCCACTTAGGGGGGGTACTGAGCCTCTCTCTCTCATAAGATGGGCCATGTGCTACCTTTACCTTTGATATACCTTTGATGAGTTCCAAGTGTCTTTTACCCCAAGATCTCAGCCATATGCCAAGTTGGATACATTCTTACAAAAGAAAATAAACAACTTTATTTCTGTAAAATAGCATACTGTACAGTATACAATTAGGATATTTGATATGTATAAACTACTTTATAGGAAGTCCCTTGTTATGCAAGGCATTTCGGGCAGCCTTAACTACCAGACAATGAGACACACATGTATAGTACATGAGAATAAGAATGCTTGGTTTATATTATATTGAAGGTATTCAATAACTCAGTAAGAAAAATTAATTAAAGATAATTATGGATGAAGCTAGGTACCTGAATTGATTAAAAAGAATGTCTTTCTAGTAATAAATGAGAGTTAGAGGAAGGACAATAGTGGATGAAAGACAGGGTTTCAAGATTTGTATGATACTCTACTGTATTCAACAATAACACCTTTTTTCCCCACAAGATTGTATTCTAACTTTGTGACTGCCAGATTGCTGCATTACTAAACACACTGTTGTGCTTTCCAAGACCAAAGATTTTTGGGCTGAACATAGATATGCTACATTTGAACCAAGATGCTCATCTGTTATTAATTATCTTACCCTGGGCATTATTTGAAATTCATTTGACCTGCTATGATTTATGCTCTGTTCATACACATTGTATCTGGTTTCAAACACCATACTATAAATACTCCATGATCAGTTTAATGGTTAAATAATATGACACACTGTAGTAGCCAAGGTGTTTTGAGATAAGATATGGCAAATAAAATAAGTGTAGGTACTCTTATTTAGAGGTGAATTTGTATTGAGCAGTTTTTGAAAAGGGCAGTTTCTCAAAGAATTTGTTTTGTGCTGTTTTTTAAAGAGTTTGTTGTAGTGAATATCACCATCTTGATCTTCAAAGCCTGGATATGATGGTAAAATGTTAACAACATACCGAAATACCATTGTTTGGACCAGACTTTGAAATGTGTTGAGGTGGGGTATTAAATTTTAGGTTGTATAGGTGAACTGTGTCAATAAAATGACAGCTTGTATGTGCCACTTTAAAAAAAATCATATTTTAATTTTAAGTTAAATACTCTATTAATATTTTATCATTTCATTTAAAATGATAGGTAGTTATATTTCTAAAACAAAATTTACTATATTTAAGTCATGTAATTTTTTCATGTATATATTTCAGTATTTATTAACTTTGTTAGACTGTTTACTGAATTTAGATGTAATATTTAATTTAAATACATTATGTAATATGGTATGTTTAAAATGTATGCATTATTCAGAATATATACAAATTACTGCATTACATTTAGCAAAAGGATCCTGTTTATTTTTTGAGCAATAACATTATTAATTCTGAAAATGCAAATGTGGTGTTTATCATATATTTCAGACAGATTTAAGAAACATGCCAAATTCTCTTACAAAATGGCAGTTTTTGCATTTTTAACTTATGCATTGATCAATACTCTATATTCCTTTGAATAAACATGTTATGCAAATTTTAAAATTTGCACCAAATTTAATTTAACCGTCTAAACTAACCTTAATAAAATTATTGAAAATTAGTATACTGTAGCTCATTCTTGCATGATATAGGTAAGGTTGGTACCTATATTAAAGTATTTTTCAGCAATAATATACAGTATTCTAATTTCATGATCTATAAACAAATTTCTGAGGAGGAATTATATATGAACATCAGTTGGAGAAAAGTTCAAATAAAACTTTCAAAAGAAACTGAAAGCAAATACTGTAATATCTTCAGTAGTTTATATTTATTTATTTTCTCAACAGTGACTATAGCCATAGCAAACTAGACTTTGAAGTGTCTGATCTCTTCACGTTTGGCTGTCCACTTGCTCTGGTGTTAGTCTACAGGAAAATGATTAATACCTCGGACAAAAACTGTAAGTATTATACCTGGTAATTTAATTTTTAATTTTGGTGCTTGCTGTTAATACTCTCTTGACAGTTGCTTATTGTAGTCAACAAGGGAATGTTGGTCATGTATACAGTGATCTCTTACTTTTGTATTCACTGACCTGTGAAAACCTTGAGTGATAACTTTATAGTGAGGGATCCCCAGGCTGTGACAGTAGTGTATGGTATCTGTCTACCAATTAGATGATGGAGAATCAAGCTTCCACTACTCATTGTGCTGAGTGACCCACATGGGTTTACTGCTTCATATGAGCACATGCACGCACACATACATGCACACGCACATGCGTGCACACGCGCGCGCGCACACACACACACACACACACACACACACACACACACACACCACACACACACACACACACACACACACACACACACACACACACACACACACACACACACACACACACACACACAGGGAGCAGAGAGAGAGAGGACCAAGCAGTGATCAGTGAAGAGGCAGGGCCAGGAGCCGAGTCTTGACCCCTGCAACCACAATTAGGTGAGTACACACACACACATGCATGTGCATACATAGGTACTTACGTATGTATTCCATACACTTGCAACATCTGCCACATTGCTCCCCTATCCACCCTATCATATTTTTTTTTTTTTTCAGCAAGTCAGTCATCTCCCACCGAGGCAGGGTGACCCAAAAAAAGAAAGAAAATCCCCAAAAAGAAAATACTTTCATCATCATTCAACACTTTCACCACACTCACACATTATCACTGTTTTTGCAGAGGTGCTCAGAATACAACAGCTTAGAAGCATATATATATAAAGATACACAACATATCTTTGTCTTAACCTTAATTTTTTCAGTAATAAGTAGTACTATACACTTTACCTGGTATACTCAGCAAGCTTATTCCTCTATAATTTTTACACTCTCTTTTCTCTTCCTATCCTTTATACAAAGGAATTATGTATGCTCTCTGACATTCCCCAATCCCTAGGTACCTTTCCCTCTTTCATATATTATTGACCAAAAGTACCAACCACTCCAAAACTATATCCCCACTGGCTTTTAACATTTTTGTCATGATCCCATCAATCCCAGTTGCTTTAACCACTTTCATTTTACTCACTGCCTCATGCATCTCTGCCATTCTCACATCTGGCTCTTCCTAACTTCTAAAAGAGTTATACCTCTTTGGCCAAATCATGAAACAACTGCTTCCCTTTCTTCATCAACATTTAGCAGCTCCTCAGAATATTCCCACCATCTTCCCAATGTGTACTGTACCTCCAATTCCCCATCTACTATCTTCCCTCTTCTCTCTTTTAACTGTCAGATCCATTTGTTTCCTATTAATCTCACTCCAAATTTTTTTCTTATTCTCAGCAAAATTTGTTGACAGAACTTCACCCAGTCTCTCATTTGCTCTCCTTTCTCACTCCCTCACCACTTTCTTAACCTCTCTGTTACTCACCATATACTCCACTCTCCTTATAACACTTCTGCTTTGCAAAAACTTCTCATATTCTAACATTTTCTCCCTTACCACTCCTTTTATCCCAATCGCTCCTCGTACCTCTCACTCCCACCCTCCTATATCCACAGACTGCTGCTGCACATTCTAACATAGCATTCCTAAATCTACCCCATATCTCTTCAACCTCCTCATTACCTATACTCTCACTAGCCCATCTTTCTACTAATAGTTGCTTATATCTTACCCTAACTACCTCCTCCTTTAGTTTTTAAACTTTCACCTTTCTCTTACTTGCTGATGTCATTCTCCTTGTACCCCATCTACTTCTTACTCTAGCTGTAGCTATAACTGAATAATGATCTGATATACCTGTTGCCCCTTTGTAAACATGCACATCCCTGAGGTCTATCTATCAACCTTTTATCCAGCAATGCATAGTTCAGCAAACTATTGTCATTACGCCCCATATCATATCCTGTATACTCATATATCCTCTTTTACTTAAAATATGTATTACAGGTCGGCCATCACTAATCCGGCAATCGGTTCTCCGGTTCCATCAGTAATCCGGCACTAATTTTGGTTAGCATAATTTCAAATTTCATCATTATACTGACTCAAATTTCATCGTTATACTGATTCAGAAATTGTGCAGATGGTTGTAAATCCACAGCAGCAAGCCAGTGGAGGAGAAAGCAGTGATGAAAATAAGGAAGATGTAGGAGAAAAAGTCTCTGTTGATAGGTTAATTAAGTGTATTCTAAACTAACCACTCTGTAATCCGGCAGACTCGCTAATCCGGCACACTACAGGTCCCAATAATGCCGGATTAGTGATGGCCGACCTGTACCTATTACCAAACCTCTTTCTATACTAATTTCAATCAAAAGTCCCCATTATCATTTATCCCTGGCACGCCAGACTTACCTACTATTCCCTCTACAACAGTTGCCCCCACTTTAAGATTTAGGTCCCCCACCAGTTACTCTCTTAGTTGGTTCAAAACTTCCTATACACTCACTTAACATCACCCAAAAATCTCTCTCTCTCTCCTCCCCCCCCCCCCTTTTTTTTTTTTACACAGGGTTTGACAAGGTTAAGGATCCCTAGTTTTATTGACAAGCTATTTACAGGTTAAGGATTCCTAACTTTATTGACAAGCTAAGAGCTGTTACCTACATCAGCTCATTTGAAAGCATTTTCATTGTTATGAGACATATAAGTAGAGAACAGGATGAAGTTGGAGCCATCTGTGGGCCAGCATTTTCATTTGATCAACTGACGTTATCTCGTTGACATCATTATGCTGTACAAATGTGTTCCATACTCGAGTCATCCTGGGTATATATGATCTCAGATGGAGTGATGTTCTGGAGAAGGGTACAACCAGAGTGAAGTTGCTGCTTTCTGCCCGTCTTGTGGCATAAAAGCTTGTTTTACGCTGTCCTCAAAGTGGATCCAAGTGTGGTACTTTGACAATATTGGCCTTGTACATAACAGTAAGGCCACCCACATCCCTCCTGTGTTGAAGGCTCTGCTGAAATGACATCTATCCAGGATGGATCCAGGCGAGAGATGAGACATCTTGCTCTGTTCTCCACTCTATCAAGCAGTCGCAGATGAGAGGGGGGCAGGCAAACCAAGAAAGTGGAGTATACTCAGGGTGTGAGCGTACTTGTGCCTTGTACAGAATCTTACAACCCCTACTGTCAAGCAGATGCGAGATACGGCGAAGTGCTGTAAGCTTCCTGGCTGCCTTGTTTGCTAGATTTACAACATGGTTCTTCATGGTTAGTTTGGAGTCAAATTTCACCCCAAGGATATCAACATCTTTTCCAGGTGCCAACACTCTCCCATTCATCCTTACTACTGCACCAGCATTACCATCATGGTGCCTAGAGATGATCAATTGCATTTTCTCAGGGGCAAATATTACTTGCCATCTATTTCCCCAAGCTGATATAGCTCTTAGCTGGTGATTGATGTAGCTTAAAGCAGCTGGCATTTCTTCTCTTGGATAAGTGAATGTCAGTGTACAGTCATCTGCATATGCATGTGATTCTGGGATGAGATGAAGAAGGTCGTTGAAGTAGACATTCCATAACAATGGTCCCAGCACGCTTCCTTGTGGAACACTTGCCTCAATAGGATGTCTTGCTGATTCCGTTCCATTGAGAACTACACTTAGAGATCTACCATGAAGGTAATCACTGAGGAGACATAGCATAGAGCCTGCAATTCCCAGTGCTTGAAGTTTTGCTAAGAGGCCCTGGTGCCACACCTGGTCGAAAGCACCAGCAATATCCAGTGCTACCACACAGCTGACTTTGGATTCATCTCTCTCTCTCTCTCTCTCTCTCTCTACATTCTGTTCGTAAGTGCATAAACACTTATTATAACCCATTTTTTGCATCCAACCCTTATTTTAATCCCCCATAATTCGTAGTGTGGAAATCAGGAGGAGGTGTGGAGTTATAAATGTATTATTCAGAGGGCTGAAGATGGGTTATTGAGGTGGTTTGGTCATTTAGAGAGGATGAAGCAAAATAGAATGACTTAGAGGGTGTATAAATCTGTAGTGGAGGGGTAGGGGTCATCTTAGGAAAGGATGGAGAGAAGGGGTAAAAGAGGTTTTGTGTGTCAGGAGCTTGGACATGCAGGAGGCATGTGTGAGTGTCAGATTAGAGTGAATAGAGATGAATGCTTTTTGGGACCTGACGAGCTGTTGGAGTGTGAGCAGGGTAATATTTTGTGAAGGGATTCAGGGAAACCGGGCTTGAGTACTGGAGGCTTGAATACTGGAGGTGGAAAGTGTAATGCCTGCACTTTAAAGGAAAGGTTTGAGTTATTGGCTGTTTAGAGTGACATTTAAACTGTCATATCTGGGCACCTCTGCAAAGACTGTGGAAATGATGGTGAAAGTGTTTTTTTTTTTGGGGGGGGGAGGGGGGGGGGTTCACCCTGCCTTGGTGGGAAATGGCTGGCATGTTGAAAAAAAAATCCTAGAAATTATACATTTTATATTCCCTCTTTTCCTACCATAACTGATCCTTCAACACAATTACTAATTTTTCCTTGGCTCTAAGTCTCTCAGGTATTCCTGACCTAATTCCATTTATTTCTCCACTGAAACTCCTACGCCCTTCAGCTTTGTTTCACTAAGAGCGAGGTCATCCACCTTCTTTTCATTTATACCAGCTTGTCAGTTTTGCGACCTCCAAAATTAAGAATTATACATTAACTAAAAATTATACCAATAAATGGCATTTTATGACTTATTTTATTCTTATTGCAGGTACAATACAACGCCCATCATGTCAACAGGTGTATAACCTTTTTCATCCAACTGATCCTCTAGCTATCCGTGTTGAACCCCTGTTATCTGCACGGTTTTCACTTCTTACACCTGTAACAATACCTCGATATACAAAATATCCTCTGGGAGATGGTATTCCAACACACTTGTGTAAGTCATCAGTACCTGTTTTCTTGAAGATATAAGTCATCATTAATATTTCTGTTAGATAGTACAGCATTCTGATATTATGGAAGTCATCAGTACATATTCTCTGTTTGATAGTGCAGTATTCCAAAATATATATTTTTATCTTACTATTTGAAAGTGTTCATCTTTCTGAGCAGAATAAGACCAAGAGCAAAAAAATACAAAATTACCCCATGATAGCATCACTGTCGTGATTTCAGCAAGCTATACTTTTATATTTTAAGGTAATTATGCATATTTTTTTTCACTGTCTAGCACTAATTTCAATGTTTTGTACATAATATATGGGTTTTTACCTAGGTAGTAGGTTGGTAGACAGCAACCGCCAAGGGAGGTACTACCGTCCTGCCAAGTGAGTGTAAAACGGAAGCCTGTAATTGTTTTACATGACGGTAGGATTGCTGGTGTCCTTTTTTCTGTCTCATAAACATGCAAGATTTCAGGTACGTCTTGCTACTTTTACTTACACTTAGGTCACACTACACATACATGTACAAGCATCTATATACACACCCATCTGGGTTTTCTTCTATTTTCTTTCTAGTTCTTGTTCTTGTTTATTTCCTCTTACCTCCATGGGGAAGTGGAACAGAATTCTTCCTCCGTAAGCCATGCGTGTTGTAAGAGGCGACTAAAATGCCGGGAGCAAGGGGCTAGTAACCTCTTCTCCTGTATATATTACTAAATGTAAAAGGAGAAACTTTCGTTTTTCCTTTTGGGCCACCCTGCCTCAGTGGGATAGGGCCAGTGTGTTGAAAGAAAGTAGATATGGGTTTTTATTGTTTTTTTATGCAGTAAACAGACAGAGAAACACTGCAGAATTTACAAAAATTTGTTATCACTACAAATTATTCACTTTGAACAAAGAAATTCCATGTCTGTTGATTGTTCACATAATTTAACACCATTTACAGGATCTTTCATTATATTACAATTTTTTCAGTGTATGATATTGCTCAAAACCTGGAGCTAGGCAGAGTGGCACATTGTACACTTAACAATGGTATCTTGTATCTTTACATTGTCTTGGTTTTCTGGTACCATGCATGCATAAATAACATCTCTTCTGTGCTCTCTTCTTTTCTGTTGAAGGAATAATTGAGGGGAAGTAGGCATCATACAGTATGTCAATGAATTGATGTTATGGTTCCTGGTATGTTTCTATTATCTATCTTATGACACAATAGAAACATTCCACTTCGAACAAATTGTAAGCATTTAGCATTACCACATCTGAGAGATGTCAAAATAATTTCATATACCACTTGAAACTTTTTAGACACAATCATCTAACCCAAATTGTATGTCTATTTTGTTTTAACAACACAATGGTCATCTCCCACTGAGGTAGGATGACTCGAAAATGAAACACTCGCCATCATTCACTGTAACTGTCTTGCCAGAGGTGCTCAGATACCACATTTCAGATTACCCTCCAAACTGCATATATTCCCACCCCTCCTTCAGAGTGCAGGCACTATACTTCCTACCTCCAGGACTCAAGCTCAGCTAACCAATTTCCCTTACTCCCTTCACAAAATGTTACCTTGCTCATATGCCAACAGCTCATTAAATCCCAAAAAACTGTTTGCCTCCACTCCTGTCATGCTCACACACACACACCTGGCTGATGTCCATGCCTCTCATACACTAAATCTCCTTTACCCCCCTCTCTCTAATCTTTCCTAAAACAACCCCTATCCTGCCTTCCCTCTACTACAGATTTATAAACTCTTCAAGTGATCCTATTTTGCTCCATCTTCTCTAAATGCCCAAACCACCTCAACAAACTCTCCTCAGCCCTCTGGATAATACTTTTAGTAACCCTACACCTCCTAATCTCCAAACTGTGAATTCTCTGCATAATATTTACACCACACATTGCCCTCATACATGATATTTTCACTGCCTCCAGCCTCCTTCTGACTTCAACACATGCCTTTTCTAAATCCACGAAAGCAGCGAAAACTTCTGTTCCTTTATCTAATTATTGTTCATTTACATGCTTCAATTTAAACACTTGGTCTACACATCCCCTACCCTCCTAAAGCCTTCTTCTTCATCTGCAATCCTGCTTTCCATCTTACCCTTAATTCTTACACTAGTAACTCTACTAAAATATTAACAAAAAATACATTTTATAGAGAATAACTATAGTTTTACATATAGAAAAGGGATGATGAAGTTCGAGGGTCCACTGTATTTGAAAAAAATATTATCTTGATTACAGTGGAATGCATTCAGTCCAATGGAGGCATATTTATGGACATTAGTGGCACTACAGGATCTCCATCATTGGCAGGACATACCCGTCGTATGTCTGATGCCTCAATTCTGTCTACTGTGTCAGGGATGGCAGATACTGTCCCCATTGCTACAATAAATGCCTGTAAGTTAAAATAAATTTATATTGTATCATTAAATACACAAGTAAGATTGTAAATTTATATATCTTAATCTAATGTTTGTTACTTGTCATTACATTGGAAAATATTCTCATTTGTCAGAAAATGCAATAATGAATTAGATTTTTTCAGTGATATTGGAGTAAAATAAAGATTGGATGTGAAAAGTGGGTTATAGTAAGCGTGTATGCACCTGGAGAAGAGAGAAGTGTAGAGGAGAGAGAGAGATTCTGGGAAATGTTGAGTGAATGCGTGGGGAGTTTTGAATCAAGTGTGAGAGTAATGGTGGTTGGGGATTTCAATGCTAAAGTGGGTAAAAATGTTATGGAGGGAGTAGTAGGTAAATTTGGGGTGCCAGGGGTAAATGTAAATGGGGAGCCTTTAATTGAGCTATGTGTAGAAAGAAATTTGGTAATAAGTAATACATATTTTATGAAAAAGAGGATAAATAAATATACAAGGTATGATGTAGCACGTAATGAAAGTAGTTTGTTAGATTATGTATTGGTGGATAAAAGATTGATGGGTAGGCTCCAGGATGTACATGTTTATAGAGGGGCAGCTGATATATCGGATCATTATTTAGTTGTAGCTACAGTTAGAGTAAGAGGTAGATGGGAAAAGAGGAAGGTGGCAACAACAAGTAAGAGGGAGGTGAAAGTGTATAAACTAAGGGAGGAGGAAGTTCGGGAGAGATATAAGCGACTATTGGCAGAAAGGTGGGCTAGTGCAAAGATGAGTAGTGGGGGGGTTGAAGAGGGTTGGAATAGTTTTAAAAATGCAGTATTAGAATGTGGGGCAGAAGTTTGTGGTTATAGGAGGGTGGGGGCAGGAGGAAAGAGGAGTGATTGGTGGAATGATGAAGTAAAAGGTGTGATAAAAGAGAAAAAGGTAGCTTATGAGAGGTTTTTACAAAGCAGAAGTGTTATAAGAAGAGCAGAGTATATGGAGAGTAAAAGAAAGATGAAGAGAGTGGTGAGAGAGTGCAAAAGGAGAGCAGATGATAGAGTGGGAGAGGCACTGTCAAGAAATTTTAATGAAAATAAGAAAAAATTTTGGAGTGAGTTAAACAAGTTAAGAAAGCCTAGGGAAAGTATGGATTTGTCAGTTAAAAACAGAGTAGGGGAGTTAGTAGATGGGGAGAGGGAGGTATTAGGTAGATGGCGAGAATATTTTGAGGAACTTTTAAATGTTGAGGAAGAAAGGGAGGCGGTAATTTCATGCACTGGCCAGGGAGGTATGCCATCTTTTAGGAGTGAAGAAGAGCAGAATGTAAGTGTGGTGGAGGTACGTGAGGCATTACATAGAATGAAAGGGGGTAAAGCAGCTGGAACTGATGGGATCATGACAGAAATGTTAAAAGCAGGGGGGGATATAGTGTTGGAGTGGTTGGTACTTTTATTTAATAAATGTATGAAAGAGGGGAAGGTACCTAGGGATTGGCAGAGAGCCTGTATAGTTCCTTTATATAAAGGGAAAGGGGACAAAAGAGATTGTAAAAATTATAGAGGAATAAGTTTACTGAGTATACCAGGAAAAGTATACGGTAGGGTTATAATTGAAAGAATTAGAGGTAAGACAGAATGTAGGATTGTGGATGAGCAGGGAGGCTTCAGAGTGGGTAGGGGATGTGTAGATCAAGTGTTTACATTGAAGCATATATGTGAACAGTATTTAGATAAAGGTAGGGAAGTTTTTATTGTATTTATGGATTTAGAAAAGGCATATGATAGTGGATAGAGAAGCAATGTGGCAGATGTTGCAAGTATATGGAATAGGTGGTAAGTTAATAAATGATGTAAAGAGCTTTTATGAGGATAGTGAGGCTCAGGTTAGGGTGTGTAGAAGAGAGGGAGAATACTTCCCAGTAAAAGTAGGTCTTAGACAGGGATGTGTAATGTCACCATGGTTGTTTAATATATTTATAGATGGGGTTGTAAAAGAAGTAAATGCTAGGGTGTTCGGGAGAGGGGTCGGATTAAATTATGGGGAATCAAATTCAAAATGGGAATTGACACAGTTACTTTTGCTGATGATACTGTGTTTATGGGAGATTCTAAAGAAAAATTGCAAAGTTAGTGGATGAGTTTGGGAATGTGTGTAAATGTAGAAAAATTGAAAGTGAACATAGAAAAGAGTAAGGTGATGAGGGTATCAAATGATTTAGATAAAGAAAAATTGGATATCAAATTGGGGAGGAGGAGTATGGAAGAAGTAATGTTTTCAGATACTTGGGAGTTGACGTGTCGGCGGATGGATTTATAAAGGATGAGGTTAATCATAGAATTGATGAGGGAAAAAAAGGGTGAGTGGTGCATTGAGGTATATGTGGAGTCAAAAAACGTTATCTATGGAGGCAAAGAAGGGAATGTATGAAAGTATAGTAGTACCAACACTCTTATATGGGTGTGAAGCTTGGGTGGTAAATGCAGCAGCGAGGAGACGGTTGGAGGCAGTGGAGATGTCCTGTCTAAGGGCAATGTGTGGTGTAAATATTATGCAGAAAATTCGGAGTGTGGAAATTAGGAAAAGGTGTGGAGTTAATAAAAGTATTAGTCAGAGGGCAGAAGAGGGGTTGTTGAGGTGGTTTGGTCATTTAGAGAGAATGGATCAAAGTAGAATGACATGGAAAGCATATAAATCTATAGGGGAAGGAAGGTGAGGTAGGGGTCGTCCTCGAAAGGGTTGGAGAGAGGGGGTAAAGGAGGTTTTGTGGGCAAGTGGCTTGAACTTCCAGCAAGCGTGCATGAGCGTGTTAGATAGGAGTGAATGGAGACGAATGGTACTTAAGACCTGACGATCTGTTGGAGTGTGAGCAGGGTAATATTTAGTGAAGGGATTCAGGGAAACTGGTTATTTTCATATAGTCGGACTTGAGTCCTGGAAATGGGAAGTACAATGCCTGCACTTTAAAGGAGGGGTTTGGGATATTGGCAGTTTGGAGGGATATGTTGTGTATCTTTATACGTACAGTGGACCCCCGCATAACGATTACCTCCGAATGTGACCAATTATGTAAGTGTATTTACGTAAGTGCGTTTGTACGTGTATGTTTGGGGGTCTGAAATGGACTAATCTACTTCACAATATTTCTTATGGGAACAAATTCGGTCAGCACTGGCACCTGAACATACTTCTGGAGTGAAAAAATATCGTTAACCGGGGGTCCACTGTATATGCTTCTAAACTGTTGTATTCTGAGCACCTCTGCAAAAACAGTGATTATGTGTGAGTGTGGTGAAAGTGTTGAATGATGATGAAAGCATTTTCTTTTTGGGGATTTTCTTTCTTTTTTGGGTCACCCTGCCTTGGTGGGAGATGGCCAACTTGTTGAAAAAAAAAAAAAAAAACATTGCTAAAGATGTATGCTCTCTAACAGTCATGGTAAAGTAATATTGATTACCACTTACATAGTTTGAATTTATAAACTCACATTGCAAATTGTTGGAATTAGGAGAAACTTGAGCCACCTGTAGAAATTGCTTCACAGTATGTTCATCAGCCTTTCTTCTTTTTTTTATTATTTTTCATAGATCTGTATTACTAATTATTTATGAATGGAGGAGTGATCCTATATCACTCTTAGCACTAAATAACTTACTCAGGTTCAACACTTTACAAAACTCCTTATTATTACTGTAGTGCGAGTTAAATATGAATGCCGTTTATACAGTTAATGTTCTTCATCTCTCTTTATTCTTTTTCACAGTGAGTCAGCGATGGTGGGGGAATAAACGATTAGATTATGCACTTTACTGCCCAGAGGGACTGGCAAATTTCCCAACAAACTCTTTGCCACATCTGTTCCATGCTTCATATTGGGAGTCCTCAGATGTAATTGCCTTTATATTAAGACAGGTAAGACTAATGTACTGGTATGTGCAGTTATCAAAAATTGTTTTCATTACACGTAATTGTTTGTTTGGCAAATATCTTCGGTTTCTCACAGGGTTTCTTGTGGTGTCTTATTATGGAAGATTGGCTCATATCCCCTAAGGTGTAAATTAGTCATAAGATTTCATTTAAAATATTTTCAATAACTTTGCCAAACCCAAATCTTTTCCTTTTGGGTAGTTCTTCCTTATGATTGTCATAAGGAAGAACAAATTTTATCATGCAGATATAATTTTGGAGGGCCTGCAGAAGAAGTGGATTTATTTAGGTGTTTGGGAGTAGACATGTTAGAAGATTGGCCTATGAAAGACAAGGTGAATCATAAAATAGATTAGGGGGGGAGGAAATGGTAGGTGGTGTGTTGAGGCATCTGTGGAAAGTTCGTATATAGAGGAAAAAAAAAAAAAAAGAAAAAAAAGGGGAATGTTTCAGAGTATAATGCAGGGCTTCCCAACATTTTCTATGACCCACAACCCTAGGAAATGTTGAATTAATGTTGCACCCCTACAAAAGTAATATCACATTTGAAGATGAAAAGTCAAATTTCTAATTTTCAAATCACAAATCGAACCAGATACAGTACTATGGGTGAACAGATTGAACTCAGAAAGTAAGCTTTTAATTCAGTGCATAAAATGCAAATATAAATTGAGCAATGAGAAAAGTTTCTGGTAAAATAAACGGAATCGTGCTTTACATTAGGACTCTTTGTCGCGCCCCTGTACAGGTTGAGTATCCCTTATCCAAAATTCTGAAATTTGAAAAACTCTGAAATCCAAAAAAATTTTTTAAGTACCAACATGATGCCAAAAATGGAAAATTCCAGCCAGCTCTGGGGATGACCTCAGGTATTGCACAGGTCTCTGCATACCCAAACAGTTGCAACACATGACCTCACATGTCCTGGGTGGGGCTGTGATATCAGCAGTCATCACTACCAGACCTACATGCATTACTCACTGTGATTGTGTGTTTTGTGTTTATTCTCTGCTCTGTTGCAAAGATGTTGAAAATGTCAAAAAGGCCTGCACATATCACCATGGGTAATAATGATAAGAAAAAATACAGTGTACAGTAGCCTTTTAATCAAACATGACATGGTAGGTGGAGACTGAAAACCTGCTGTGGTTTGTTGTTGGAAGGATTGGATTGGATGAAGTTTGCCAGTACTGTCCTAACCTGGGTCTTGGTTGTTATTTTTAACAGCTTATGTAGGTATTCTACAAATGCTGCTGTGCTGATTTTCTTATTAAAAATATTGTTTATGTTATTAGAAATATCGTATAAAACTAACTTCAGGCTATGTGTATAATCTGTATACGAAATATCAATGGATTTTGTGTTTAGACTTTGGGCCTATCCCCAGGCTATCTCATATTCCAAAATCTGAAATTTTCCAAAATCTGAGACACTTCTAGTCCCAAGCATTTTAGATGAGAGATACCCAGCCTGTAGCAACACTTTTATATGGGTGTAAGCAGGGCTGGATTAAGGCATGAACTTTAGGGGCTGCAGCCCAGAGGTCTCTGTCACCTGGAGGGCCTCCAGAGATGTTCTCAACAACTTAAAATTTACTGATGTTTTGGAGAAATTCATTTCCAAGAAATACTCAAAGCAAATGTTTGAATTTTAATTCTTTAACTTTTTTTTTCCTTTTAAAAATGTCACTGGCAGCCTCACCGTACCTGTAGCCGAGGGGCCTACAAAATATTAATCCAGTTCTGGATGTAAGGCATGGGTTTTGAACATTGCATTGTGAAGACTAGAGACAGCAGAGATGTCATGTTTGAGATGATTGTTTGGTGTGAATATAACCCCTCCAGAGGGCTGAGGTGGTTTTGGCATGTAGAAATGATGCAGAGGGCTAGGATGACAATGAGGATGTATAGATCTGGGCTGGAATAGTTGGAGGGAGGGGGTAAATGAGGCTTCGTGTTTTAGGGACTTGAGCACCTTATAGGCTTATGTGAGAGTGTTAAATAGAAGTGAATGGAGACAAGAGGTTTTCAATGGACATGTTATTGGAGTAAGAGCAAGGTAACATTCATGAAGGGATTCAGGAAAATGATTTAGTTTGTGGGAATGACAGTGCCTGCACTCTGAAAGATGAGCAGGGATGTTGGAAACAGAGGGTACACTGAATTGTGATGTCAGCACACTTCTTGAAAGACAGTGATTGAATGAATGATGGTGAATGTGTTTTCTTTGGCAGAAAACAGCCATTGAGTTCAAAAAAAATTATTCTTGAATTCCAGAAATGCAGATGTCAAGGAACATAACCCTACAAATTTGTAGTTTGAATTAATACGTGACAGACTTATTCCTTATAATTTTTCTGCTCTCTCATTTTCACTTACACAAGGGAACTATGTATAATTTTTACTAATTCTTTGATACCTTTTTTGTGTATGCAGGATTTTTTACATGGTTCATCAGAAATTGAATACAGGATACTGTGATACTGTATTGTGTCTTGCAGTCCTATATAAAAACTATGATACCTTCTGTGCAAGGTTTGATGAATCAACAACTTTCACCTCAACATGTCAGCTGTTCCTGATCAGATTACAGAAGGGCCCTGTTTGTACGGCTCTTAGGTTCCTGACCCCGTACAGTAAGTGAAAATCACCAGCAGGTGGAAGAGAATGGCTATTTCATTACTGAATATATCTAAAAAACCTGTACTTAATACAGCTAGGTATAAAAAAAACAGATAAAAAGTAAAATAAATACAGTTCATAAAATACTCACCTTAAAATATTGTGTCGGTCACCTTTCTCTTACACAGCTGTTGTAAGAAAATGGCGGAAAAGTGGTAAAAGCCCCGAACATAATAAACAAGGCTTAGTTGAAGGCCAATGAAACTGTGAAACACCGAAAAGAGGGTGCTGTATATGCGGGGCTCTCCTGTATAATGATTCATTATTTCTACCATCTTATGCTAAATAATTATTATTTTTATTATCACACCGGCCGATTCCCACCAAGGCAGGGTGGCCCGAAAAAGAAAAACTTTCACCATCATTCACTCCATCACTGTCTTGCCAGAAGAGTGCTTTACACTACAGTTTTTAAACTGCAACATTAACACCCCTCCTTCAGAGTGCAGGCACTGTACTTCCCATCTCCAGGACTCAAGTCCGGCCTGCCGGTTTCCCTGAATCCCTTCATAAATGTTACTTTGCTCACACTCCAACAGCACGTCAAGTATTAAAAACCATTTGTCTCCATTCACTCCTATCAAACACGCTCACGCATGCCTGCTGGAAGTCCAAGCCCCTCGCACACAAAACCTCCTTTACCCCCTCCCTCCAACCCTTCCTAGGCCGACCCCTACCCCGCCTTCCTTCCACTACAGACTGATACACTCTTGAAGTCATTCTATTTCGCTCCATTCTCTCTACATGTCCGAACCACCTCAACAACCCTTCCTCAGCCCTCTGGACAACAGTTTTGGTAATCCCGCACCTCCTCCTAACTTCCAAACTACGAATTCTCTGCATTATATTCACACCACACATTGCCCTCAGACATGACATCTCCACTGCCTCCAGCCTTCTCCTCGCTGCAACATTCATCACCCACGCTTCACACCCATATAAGAGCGTTGGTAAAACTATACTCTCATACATTCCCCTCTTTGCCTCCAAGGACAAAGTTCTCTGTCTCCACAGACTCCTAAGTGCACCACTCACTCTTTTTCCCTCATCAATTCTATGATTCACCTCATCTTTCATAGACCCATCCGCTGACACGTCCACTCCCAAATATCTGAATACGTTCACCTCCTCCATACTCTCTCCCTCCAATCTGATATTCAATCTTTCATCACCTAATCTTTTTGTTATCCTCATAACCTTACTCTTTCCTGTATTCACCTTTAATTTTCTTCTTTTGCACACCCTACCAAATTCATCCACCAATCTCTGCAACTTCTCTTCAGAATCTCCCAAGAGCACAGTGTCATCAGCAAAGAGCAGCTGTGACAACTCCCACTTTGTGTGTGATTCTTTATCTTTTAACTCCACGCCTCTTGCCAAGACCCTCGCATTTACTTCTCTTACAACCCCATCTATAAATATATTAAACAACCACGGTGACATCACACATCCTTGTCTAAGGCCTACTTTTACTGGGAAAAAATTTCCCTCTTTCCTACATACTCTAACTTGAGCCTCACTATCCTCGTAAAAACTCTTCACTGCTTTCAGTAACCTACCTCCTACACCATACACTTGCAACATCTGCCACATTGCCCCCCTATCCACCCTGTCATACTTCTTTCTTTCAACACACCGGCCGTATCCCACCGAGGCGGGGTGGCCCAAAAGGAAAAACGAAAGTTTCTCCTTTTACATTTAGTAATATATACAGGAGAAGAGGTTACTAGCTCCTTGCTCCCGGCATTTTAGTCGCCTCTTACAACACGCATGGCTTACGGAGGAAGAATTCTGTTCCACTTCCCCATGGAGGTAAGAGGAAATAAACAAGAACAAGAACTAGAAAGAAAATAGAAGAAAACCCAAAGGGGTGTGTATATATATGCTTGTACATGTATGTGTAGTGTGACCTAAGTGTAAGTAGAAGTAGCAAGACATACCTGAAATCTTGCATGTGTATGAGACAGATAAAAAAAGACACCAGCAATCTTACCATCGTGTAAAACAATTACAGGCTTCAGTTTTACACTCACTTGGCAGGACGGTAGTACCTCCCTGGGCGGTTGCTGTCTACCAACCTACTACCTAGAACCCTGTCATACGCCTTTTCCAAATCCATAAATGCCACAAAGACCTCTTTAGCCTTATCTAAATACTGTTCACTTATATGTTTCACTGTAAACACCTGGTCCACACACCCCCTACCTTTCCTAAAGCCTCCTTGTTCATCTGCTATCCTATTCTCCGTCTTACTCTTAATTCTTTCAATTATAACTCTACCATACACTTTACCAGGTACACTCAACAGACTTATCCCCCTATAATTTTTGCACTCTCTTTTATCCCCTTTGCCTTTATACAAAGGAACTATGCATGCTCTCTGCCAATCCCTAGGTACCTTACCCTCTTCCATACATTTATTAAATAATTGCACCAACCACTCCAAAACTATATCCCCACCTGCTTTTAACATTTCTATCTTTATCCCATCAATCCCGGCTGCCTTACCCCCTTTCATTTTACCTACTGCCTCACGAACTTCCCCCACACTCACAACTGGCTCTTCCTCACTCCTACAAGATGTTATTCCTCCTTGCCCTATACACGAAATCACAGCTTCCCTATCTTCATCAACATTTAACAATTCCTCAAAATATTCCTTCCATCTTCCCAATACCTCTAACTCTCCATTTAATAACTCTCCTCTCCTATTTTTAACTGACAAATCCATTTGTTCTCTAGGCTTTCTTAACTTGTTAATCTCACTCCAAAACTTTTTCTTATTTTCAACAAAATTTGTTGATAACATCTCACCCACTCTCTCATTTGCTCTCTTTTTACATTGCTTCACCACTCTCTTAACTTCTCTCTTTTTCTCCATATACTCTTCCCTCCTTGCATCACTTCTACTTTGTAAAAACTTCTCATATGCTAACTTTTTCTCCCTTACTACTCTCTTTACATCATCATTCCACCAATCGCTCCTCTTCCCTCCTGCACCCACTTTCCTGTAACCACAAACTTCTGCTGAACACTCTAACACTACATTTTTAAACCTACCCCATACCTCTTCGACCCCATTGCCTATGCTCTCATTAGCCCATCTATCCTCCAATAGCTGTTTATATCTTACCCTAACTGCCTCCTCTTTTAGTTTATAAACCTTCACCTCTCTCTTCCCTGATGCTTCTATTCTCCTTGTATCCCATCTACCTTTTATCTCTCAGTGTAGCTACAACTAGAAAGTGATCTGATATATCTGTGGCCCCTCTATAAACATGTACATCCTGAAGTCTACTCAACAGTCTTTTATCTACCAATACATAATCCAACAAACTACTGTCATTTCGCCCTACATCATATCGTGTATACTTATTTATCCTCTTTTTTCTTAAAATATGTATTACCTATAACTAAACCCCTTTCTATACAAAGTTCAATCAAAGGGCTCCCATTATCATTTACACCTGGCACCCCAAAACTTACCTACCACACCCTCTCTAAAAGTTTCTCCTACTTTAGCATTCAAGTCCCCTACCACAATTACTCTCTCACTTGGTTCAAAGGCTCCTATACATTCACTTAACATCTTCCCAAAATCTCTCTCTCTCCTCTGCATTCCTCTCTTCTCCAGGTGCATACACGCTTATTATGACCCACTTCTCGCATCCAACCTTTACTTTAATCCACATAATTCTTGAATTTACACATTCATATTCTCTTTTCTCCTTCCATAACTGATCATTTAACATTACTGCTACCCCTTCCTTTGCTCTAACTCTCTCAGATACTCCAGATTTAATCCCATTTATTTCCCCCCACTGAAACTCTCCTACCCCCTTCAGCTTTGTTTCGCTTAGGGCCAGGACATCCAACTTCTTTTCATTCATAACATCAGCAATCATCTGTTTCTTGTCATCCGCACTACATCCACGCACATTTAAGCAACCCAGTTTTATAAAGTTTTTCTTCTTCTCTTTTTTAGTAATTGTATACAGGAGAAGGGGTTACTAGCCCCATTGCTCCCGGCATTTTAGTCGCCTCATACGACACGCATGGCTTACGGAGGAAAGATTCTTTTCCACTTCCCCATGGACAATAGAAGAAATAAAAAAGAACAAGAGCTATTTAGAAAAAGGAGAAAAACCTAGATGTATGTATATATATATATGCATGTGCGTGTCTGTGAAGTGTGACCAAAGTGTAAGTAGGAGTAGCAAGATATCCCTGTTATCTTAGCGTGTTTATGAGGCAGAAAAAGAAACCAGCAATCCTACCATCATGCAAAACAGTTACAGGTTTTTGTTTCACAGTCATCTGGCAGGACGGTAGTACTTCCCTGGGTGGTTGCTGTCTACCAACCTACTACCTCAATTATTATTATTATTATTATTATTATAATCATAACAAAACGCTAAACCCTAGAAGATCATAGAGCACTGCAGGGTAGGGTGTGCTAAAGGTGATGCCAAATAATAAAAGAAAACTGGTATTCTAAGGAAACAAGAGTGGAAGGCAGAAGCTTCTAAACTAGTATGAAACACTGGTTCATTGTACCGTACACAGAAAGTAGTTTTCATTCTTCAAAATATTGTTTTGTGTTTATTTTCTCACATAAACATGTTATAGGGCCATTTAAATTTACTTAAAACAGTTGGTGCGAACAGATCATTCAGCTCTTGCAGCAGATGATAAGGACCTTCCAGTATTCTCTCCTATGCAACCAAGAGAGAAGTGGATTAAGAAACGAACTTCGGTTAAAATCAAGGTAAGTCATTACTAAGTTTAAGCAGTTATATTTTGAATATCAAGTGCCATCATAAAATATTTGTATTTAATTTGTTGCTTAGTCATTAATCAAATTAAGCTTAAAGAAATTACAAAAACTATTAATCTTAAGTCACTTGAAAATAGAATTCACTTGGATGATACTCAGCAAGCCACTATATAATACAGTAATTGGAAACATTTTGATAAATAATAATCTTATAGAAAGGAAGAGTGTGTACTGTATTACCTAGATAACATACTTAAATTAAAGAAACATCAGCACTCATAAAAAGTACTTATAAAAACATCTGGCAGTCTTTCACATTGTATCATTGTACTACACACTAATCTATCTGTATCTCACTTGCAGTTTATGTGCTTGGAAGATTAATAATAACAAACAATCTGAAGCCAAACATAATTATTATAACTTGACTCAAGAAATCGTAATGACACGATTGCAAACAAACCATACCCCCGGCCGGGATTGAACCCGCGGTCATAGAGTCTCAAAACTCCAGCCCGGAGTTTTGAGACTCTATGACCGCGGGTTCAATCCCAGCCGGGGGTATGGTTTGATAATTATTATAAGAACCATATCACAGTCTAAGCCTAGATAGCATACATGAAATCTACTGAACATTTTTATGATCTATAAATGCAGTAGATCAATTATCTGGTGATTGGCTATTTGATAGGCTTGTTTGTACAGAGCACCTGAGCAGATAATGTAGTAAAGGAATGTAAACAGTAGAGTCCCATCCCCCCCACCCCAGAAAAAAAAATCAATTGTCCAGTGGAAAATTCTGCTCACCTAACCCCTAAGGGTGCACTCTACTTTTACAGAACCCTGAATGCAGATGCTAACCCATACTCTTTTATATTCCACATATATGACTTAATCTACCATAAGCTGAAACTCTATGAAAATTAAAGAGCCCTTCCCATTGCCATTATTTTTAAATCTTGCTCTATTTTTTAAAGCTGCTTCACACACTTCACACCAAGGAATTAGTGATTAGACTCCAAACAGAAACAATATTTTCACCTCTGTCTATATTCTTTTGAAGGTTAACTATAAATTTACATCTTTGTGTTCGAACACCCACTGGAAGAACATAGGAGAAAGGTCATGCTGTCAATTTTAATCTTGACTGTGGACATCATCATACACATTCAGGAATAAATGAATTTTTATCTTGTCTTCTTGCTCAGCAAACTCTTCAACTTGACTTCTTTAGTTGTTCACATCCTCAGGTTACCCACACCTCTCTTACAGTCCTTAGTGTCTACATATTCCCATGTCTCCCATGTCCTTTGTATCTTCAGATTATTATTGTATGATTGTACAGTAATTTTGAATAAAGATTTACATTTGTATTCTCTGTAGACGTGAAAAACCTTGGTTATTGAGTAAAACGTTTTCTTAGCAAAGTGTCGTTTCTGATTTTGTGTCTTTGCTTTGCATCGTGTTGGCATATCTTACCTCTTATGTCCAGTAAACAGAATGCTTTGTAGGTATAATATTGCAGTGCATCCATCAGTAGATCTCTTAATGTTAAAGGCATGTAATCAAACTCTTCATTGGAAAATCATTATTCTGTAAGGTTAAGGAAAATACAGTATAAATCCTTTCCTTTACTTTAAGTATTAAATTAATAGCATTTTAGAGTACAGTATTATAATTTGTATAAGTGCAATGTTTTTATCTACAGGTACATCAGGTCTTAACAGACAAATGCTTTTGCTTAGATCTTTTCTTCAGCATTAATAAGCTATTAGAAATTTAACCCCTTGACTGTCGCAACCCCCAATCCTGAGGTGTCTCCTGGTGTTGCAAAATTTCAAAAAAAAGAAAAGATTTTTTTCTTATGAAATGATAGAGAATCTTTTCCCGATTGTAATGACACCAAAAAAAAACGAAATTTGATGGAAAACTGATGGAATTACACTCTCGCGAAGTTAGCGACCTCGGTGATATTTACAAATCGGCGATTTCGCCCACTTTGAGCCCTATTTTCAGCTAATTCCATTGTTCCAGTCGACCAAACTCTTAGCTATTTCTTTAGAACTCTGTTTTTTCTATCGATTGAGTACAAGAAACTGCCCATTTACCGATTTCAACTACCCAATAACGTGGTCAGAAATTTGCAATTTGGCCAATTTCACGAAAATTAACCCTTTCAGGGTCCAAGGCCAAAATCTGAAGTGGTGCCTCAGTGTCCAAGAAATTTTGAAAAAAAAAAATTATTTTTTCTTGCAGAATTAAAGAGTATATTTTTGTGAAGGTAATAAAACAAAAAAAAAAATTCTGATCAATACTTACCGAGATACAATGCCGAGAAGTTGACCCAAAATGACCGGGTGGCTGCAACATCGACGATTTCCACATACACGCATTACTTTATTTAACGTTTTTTGTAGTTTTTTTCTTTTCTTTTCTGATTTTTTTCTTTTCCTACTAACATTTGGGGCCTAAGAGACCAATACTTTATATAATGTATTTATATAAACTCACTGTATTGAACACAATAACTGCACTAAAGTTATTATCATATTATTGTTTACCACTTTTGTTTATTACAATAACCATGCACAAATCTTGTATAATACTAATGTTCTATCATATATTTACATATTTACAATCACTGGACATGTTTTTAGAACTGCTGGAGCTTGTGGAACTCCTTGAAACAAGGCACCATGCACAGAGATACCTTATATTCCTCGCACATAAACCGAGTGTCTTTTGCATCTTTGTTGCCGTCGTTTTGTTTGTGCACAGACAATGCATCTCTTCTGAGCAAATTTCTTCTTAGTTGCAGGAAGCTGTATTATGAAATGATCACCTTCCCTCCTCAAATGCTTGGGTATATTCTGAGGAGTTCGAGGACCTTGTTGTATAGTAGGTGTTGTTACCTGGTACTTCATTATGAGTTGTCTGACAACAGACAAGCAAAATTCACCATACGGTGGTCTGTTGCCAGTCTTCATTTGGTACATATTATATGCATTGAGCATTGAAATGTCCATGAGATGGAAGAAAAGTTTCATGTACCACTTGTAACTCTTACGAACACAGTCAACAAAGCCAATCTGCATGTCACATTTGTCAACCAAGTGCATGTTTTGTGTATAATCAATCACTGTTGCTGGTTTTCGAATACGTTCATTAGTCATTCTATCAACTTTGCCACTGTCTTGCATTTCGTTATGGTGAATGGTTGTCAATAATGTGACATCTCATTTCTCATGCCACTGTAATGCCATGATGTCATTGGCAGTAAACACCTGCATCTCCTCACCACGAGCACCTGCGTTGAACCTGGGCATATATTTACAATTAGAACGCACTGTGCCACACACATCTGTCTTGTTCACTCACAAGAAATCACTGAGTAAAGGGCTTGTGTACCAGTTATCGGTATATAATGTATGCCCCTTACCAAGATAAGGTGCCATCATGCTTCTCACTACGTCACCTGAGATACCCAATAACATCTTGGTATCTTTCAATGTTTTACATCCCGTGTATACAACAATATCTAATACCAGGCCACTGTCACAGTCACAGAGTACAAACAGTTTTATACCAAAGCGTTTCCTCTTGCTCGGTATATACTGCTTGAACGACAGTCTACCTTTGAACAAAATCAAAGACTCGTCAATCACAAGATTCTTGAATGGATAAAAGTACATGTTGAACTTTTGTTTCATATACATAAAAACATTTCTAATCTTGTATAACCTGTCACTTCTGTCAGGCCTGGTTTTGTCAGAGAAGTGCAACATACGTACAGTAAGATAAACCTGTTCACTGAGATGATTTCACTGAAGACCGGGGTAGAAATTAGCCGATCTGTGGACCAGTATGCTCTTATATTATGCTTAGACATGAGGCATAAGCATTATTGTTGCAAAAAGCAAATACATTTCTGCAACAGTCGTCTCTTTCCACCGGTGTAGTCTTGACTGTGGTGATATGATCGTATTTGCCATGGTGTACTCAAAATACTTGTTACTTTCTGTGAAGGCTTACTCAGCCCTGTAACAACTTCAGTCAGTATTACTAAGGCTGGCTTCTCCTCAGGAAAATTAATGAATAGAAAAAGAACAAAAACTGACAAATATAAACACTTTATTATTTAGGAAATATGAAATATAAAACACTTAAATATGAAATACTGATCCTACATGAAAGAAAATGAAAAATTAAAAATATAAATGATATCTGAATTCAACGCTAAAAACTTGGGTGTCTGGTGTTGGTGACACTGCGTACTGTTGCAATAGAAGCCGTTGCTGATGATGTGGGGGGGGGTCGCAGTTGTTGGTGACAACCCACTGGCTCGTTCTAGTGGCTGTAAGTAATCTTTCCCGATGACAGGAGATCAGGTTCTTGACCGCTGTAATGATGAGGGGTTATGTCCTGATTCTTCATACAAGTGCACAGGCAAGTAAATCCAATATGGGACATCTCCAGGACGTTAGTCCGTCTCCTTCAATTTTACTCGTTGATTGACAGGTGACCCTCTCTGTCATCCAAGCTGAAAAGATAGACAGGTTACCCACTGCTTAAGAAATCACTCTCCATGATAAGTACAATACCTAAAAGATGTGGTGATTATTACAACGGTCAACTTAGAGCAAGACTGAAAGGACTAAGTTTATTATTGGTCAAAAGTGAAGCTTTCAACCAATAAATCCACTAGAATACAAGGCAGGCATGTACTTACAGTAGTGTTGGGAGCTGTGAGTCGAGTGATTTACTGTTTGACCAGAGCCCCACACGTCACCTTTCGGGAGGGGGGGAGAAGAGGGAGGGGAAGGGATAGTGGGAGCTAGACTGTCCCTATGTTAACAAGCAGCCGGCAATCAAACTATCATTTTCGGGGTGGAGGGAAAAAAGGCGGGAACAGCGGGAGCTAGACTTGCCTTACCTTAACTAGTAGCCGGCAAGCAAACTATCAATTTCGGGGAGGGGGAAAAAGGCGGGAA